ATACGACTAGTCGTATCGTATAGATGGGCCTTAATACACGTGTTTATTTTACGAATTAACTTGCACAAATAATTTACTTCCGTCTAATTTTCAGTCATTGTTTTGGGAAAAGCAATAGTTACTTCTCAGAGCAGTTTGAGCAGTAACTATTGCCTCCGAGTTACTGCTGAGGGAGCTAATCAGAATGACCAAACCACAAAGGCCACTTTTTCAATCCTGAAATTATGCTAAACAACTATAAACTGTAGTCAAGGCAGGATTTTCCACTAGGCGAAATTTTTCGACCGAATCGAAATTTTCTTTTATCTTAAAGGCGGTTTTCCACTAGGTGAAATTTTTCGACCGAATCGAAATTTCTCTTTGTTTCAGAGCTCTCGAGCAGAACTAATTGTAAAAAGACAAAGAGAAATTTCGTTTCGGTCGAAATATTCCGCCTCGTGGAATCAGGCCTTTAGGCCCAGACACACCGGACGCGATTCGACAACGCGACGCGATTTTTCGATTTTCACTGAACGATAACTTTGATCCTAGTTTAAATTTTCCAAATATTTAGAAGCACTATAACATTTCGAGTTATTTGGTCTACATATCTTTCAAAATTTGCTCTCATTGGCTGTTTTATTAACTTTCCAAAACTAAAAAATCGCGTCGCGTTGTCGAATCGCGTCCGGTGTGTCTGGACCTTTACAAGCACTCATGATGGAACTGAACAGAAATCTTTTGAATTTGAACAATAGAAATTTCGGTTCGATCGAACAATTTCGCCTAGTGGAAAACCGCCTTTAAGCCTAATTTCCACTCAGGAAAATTATCCGTGGATTGGAACGGACAAGAAAATTTTTCTTTGTGTTAAAGTCATTAGTTCCAACCCAGAGCTCACAAGACAAAGAAACATTTTCTTGTCCGTTCCAATCCACGGATAATTTTCCTGAGTGGAAATTAGCCTTTAGTGTACATTCCAGTGGAGGCAGAAAAATGTTAGGATTGAAATGTGAGCTTTTTGAGCCTTCGGGGTAAACGTTTACACTATAGTTTTAGTTTTCAAATGAAACTCTAGCGTTCAAAATTATTTAATTTTTAAAAATATGTTCATGCTCAAAAAGTGGTGAAAAAATACCCAATTTAATTGCGTAGACTTGTGTGACGCACTTTTGTTTACAAGTGTGACGCACTTTTGTGGGCCCTCTAGTCGTAACCTTGCTACGAGGCACGACGACTGTGGAGGAGGCTGATTTTAGGTGAGGTGCAGCGGTACGGATACCAGCCTCCCCACTACCCCGGGCTGAAGTCAATAAAGTGAAGTATTATGCATGTTTGTAATGTACATATGTAGCAATATATCTATGAATTATGACTGGTTCGCTACAGGCCCCGTGGGTTTTTTGGAAACATTGCATTATCACTTTTTCAATTTTATAGACGAACGTTATTTCAATGTGACCTTAAGCACCTCATCAAAATTTAACAACAAACATTAAAGCTACGTTTGAGTCAGCTGTTGACTTTGGTCCATCATTTTATCCTACTCAAGTTCTAGATGTGCAAAATCTTTCAGGGAAGGTTCAAAACTATCCCAGAGGTATATGCACCCCGCCTCTCCTCTCTTCTCAAAATTCAGCCATTCATGTTGCTCATAAAATGTTTACAAACAAGAAAGAACATTGCGCTTTTTCGAAAATAAAATGACAATGTTACCCGCGGAATATACAGTGACATTTTCCATCTCGGATATCCCAATACCTAAACAAGTAAAATCAAGAGTTTATTTGTCTGGAAAGGGGAAACAAGGGGAAATACATTTTGACAATTCGTCTGTGTTAAGGCTCTGTCACACTATTGCGTTCGTACTAGCGTATGAAAAATATCACTTATACGCCAGTATACGCTGACATACGCTAGGGGTACGTTAGGCTTAGGTTGTATACGTTTCAAACACGGTCGCATACGGTGACAGACGGCGAAGCAGAAATTTTTTTTAAGCATGCTCAAGAATTTTGTGCGTATTCGGACTATCGTTTATACGATAAACATACTCTCGGCACACGCTGAATACGCTGGAGGTACGCCAGATGTACGGAACTCATACGCTGGCATTTCAGAGGATTTTTGTGCGTATGAAAATTATTTCATTAATTTTCATACGCTTCTCATACGTTTCTCTCATACGTTTCTCTCATACGCAATAGTGTGACAGGGCCTTTAAATGTGGCAAACAGATGGGTAAGAGAAACATCTGAGATATCAGTCATGTTATCGCTCACTACTAAGTAAATGAATGCAATGCATTCACGACCCAATCTTTCGACATATTCCAGTCTACTGTCTTCATCAGGACTGTTCTGAAGTCCAAACCTAACTTCTTACACAGGATGTGTAAAGTAATCGAACTTCAGCACGCTATTATTGTACGTTAATTACTCAGCGTGTGAACAAATTTTTTTCATGTTCGAAAAGATCAGATCAGCTTTTAGCTACATGTTTTTCATGCCAAGTGGAGAAAAAATAAGCAAGTACGAGTCCGATTAAAAAACGTTAGTCAGAATCGCATATTTTCACCTCTGTGCCTAATTAAGCAGTGCATAACAAAAGAAAAAGAAATTGATCACGAACTTGTCACAGCTATAGCTAAGATTTATTCCTACTTGATAACAATTATGAATATGTGTGTAGTTTAATGAATTGAAATTCATCAACTTAAATCCTAAATGGGGTTAATTTTCAATGGTTTTGGACCCAACTCTCAACGGTGAAAATATGCGATTCTGACTAACAATTTTTATCGGATTCGTATTTGCTCATTTGTCATCCATTTCGCATCCTCGGTCATACGCAGAGTAATTCAGATGCAATAGCGCGCTGAAGTTCGATTACCTTTTTTTGTTACACCCTGTATACTCAGTTGAGGAATGACGTCATTCGCCAACAAGAGTATCTCCACCTTGTTGGCAGATGACGTCATCCCTCGAGTATATTTAACAGTTATTCTGTAAACTCGAGTCGTATATGAGCTGAGAGCCGATGAGTTGGCTATCAGGCATATACGACGAAAGTGAGTAATAAAAAGTTAGGTTGCGATTGGAGGCAGTAGAGCTCCTTATCTACCTCGAGTTGCTCAGGAAGATGGGACAAAAGGTTGTAACTAATGATTGATCCATGGTTATACCTAATCGATGTATCGTAGCTACCGCTTAAAACAAAGCCACGTTTCTCATTGATAAGAAGACTTCTGACAGAGCCAGCATGACCTTTAATAATCTTCTCGCTCCTGCCAGTGCTAGCGCATACTAGCCTGACTCTACGATCCGATGATCCCACCACTACCAGCTCTCCGCCGTTAAAAGTAGTGCAACGGTTGGGGTCTTCAGCGTCTTGTAAGACAAATACATTGTATGCTCCACAGAACAAGTTCCTTTCTTCCATTTCGACATGAATGGTTTCAATGCCTTCGTAGCAGTAGGCCATACTTCTGTAAAACAAACTGCCTTAGAACTCTATTCAACATCAACCACAAGTTACTTGCGAATACCAGTCAGAAATCCAGCGGGCACACGGAGACTGTATATACCTTCGCTAGCGAATTAAGTTATGTATAACGATGAAAAAATTATACAATGGGCTAATTATGCATTTAGTTTACTCTACCCGGCAAAGCAAGACAAACTTCTCACTCAACAAAATTAATTTTGAAGGATTTTCTTGATGAAAATTTTGAGTGTAAATTTTATACAGTTAAGATGCTGAAACTTCCCAGGCATGGAGTTATGATATACTTAAAGTAAAATCACACAAAAAAGTCGGGGTCACCGAACTCGTTAAGAAGATATGACAATCACAATATACCACCTTTAGCCCAATATGGCGCCATCTTGACGCTCATTACGAGTAACAGCAAAATCACAACAGCCCGATATTTGTTGATGTTTTTAGCGCGGATTTTGCTTTAGTAAACCTATCTTGTAATTATTTTTGAAAAAATATTGTGTTTTGAGCAAAATGAAACTACTAATGTATACAATTCTGATCCACAAATGTCTTTTGCACATTTCTTTACATATCTTTCTTCGAGAACATGCATTGATAAAGGATTTTTTTTCAAGATCCAGAAATGATTTTTCTTTTAATTTCGGATATCAAATGTAAAATGCATTAAAGAAATAAATCATCAGTTAAAAAACGGGTGTCATCGATCTTTTTAGGGAATTGTGGCATTAAAACGTGAAATACAAGTAAATAAATATACTACAGACACAGGAACCCTAGCTACACTTTTTACCTCTTTTTTGAAAACATTGATTTTAACGTAATTCTTTGCACGAATGTAATCAAAGATGTTTTGAAGTAACAAAAATGGTCATAAAATGATTTTTTTAATGGATGAAATTATAAGTTATAAGTTATGCGCAGCAAAAGTGCGCAATGCAAAACTGCGGAATTACCTTAAATGTGATTGTATACAATTTAGATGCATATAGCATATTCAAGCCTAGTTCTCATTCATCGCAAACTGTAACCGACAATCGGCGACGCTTATCGCCGATGGTCGCCGATCGCGAATGCACGAAAGACGTCGAAAGTTCTCATACATCGGCGATCGTCATCTTACCTAAAGTGTAGTTCGTCTTCACGACTTCTTAAGAAAGACGTAGAAGGAACAACTTCAGAATGATCAATGTCATTTCTCATTTCATCTTTATATTTAGGAACACACACATTCAGTTTCTTTGCGTATTTTGGATTGAGACCTTTTGCTGTTGCACCCTGAATGGAATACGTTGTATAGTTAGTATATACGTGCCTGTCGGTTTTTTGACAGCCAGTGAGATTGTGTATTCGTCATAGGAGAATCCTTTTTCAGGAATAAATATAACTTAATGGTATGCACACGCCTAGCTATTGGGCTTCCTATGCTAAGAATCACGTTTTTAGAAGACGAAGATCTGCTTTTAAAATGGCATGGTCCAGCACTTTTGGACGGGTTGATTGCTAGTTAAGACACCGCTGTGAACATAAACCCACCTGCATCATCATAACTTCTTCCATCATAATCTGATGGACAAAGACATCTTGCTGAACTTCCTCACACAACATCCTCCAATGTTTACTAATGCATAAACAGTTCACCAAGCTTGCTTTATCTAAGTAACTTAGAACAAACTTAGAGAGATGCACGGGAAGACAGCGTATGAAGTCTTTATGGTGTTGTAGTAAGAGACACGATGACGAGAGTTGTAGATCGGTAACACTTGAAGGTTCTACCGAAATATAATCATCATCGTATAATTCATTGTCATCTGTTATTTCCTCATTGGTCCAGCTCTAAAAAGATCGAAGTTACAAACGCTATATAAAACACTCTGCTTAAAATTTTCTGGGGTAGGTTGTACGATGGCCAGAAGCGCCATCCAGGTATGCACCGGATTATTAATTGTGGGATCTATAATTTCGTAGTTTTATACCTTTTCAAGCATTTTACAACGGTTGAAAAAATCACAGTCCGGTGGATAGCGCTATCCTGCCGAGTGTCCCAAAAAAACTGGACACTGTTTGATTTCATGTAATGTAAAAGCTCTAAAAGCTATCGCAATGCACTAAAAATCATTGCATTCAGAAAAGACTAACTTAGATTTTGATATATAACACTTGAATTTACATGCAACATTGAGCAAGATACAACCAAAATAAAAATAAAAATATCGGTAATTGTAAAGGTTGTTTTATGCTAATTTTTGGCATTTTCAAAAACAGTATAGTTCAACGTTCAAACGTCGATAGCGCAGAAAGTTAGGCCTTTCTGAATGCAATGATCTTTATGCAGTGGCGGCGCCAGGCTTCCAAATTTGGGGGGGCATTTGACGGGCAAACTCAAATTTGGAGGGGGCAAGATAGAATTTTTAAAAAGGTCGCCCCCCCCAGGAAATCCCCCCCCCCCCTCAAAACGTGGGGATATTCCTAGGAATATCGCCCCCGGGGGGTGGGGAGAATACCCTAGGAATATCGCCCCTCTTTAGGACATTCGCCCCCCATATATGCGATGTGGTTTATTCAAATAATTTCGTGATACTTTCATATATCTTATTATTGCCTTACACGTTTGAGAATTTAACTCTGCAAAACTAAAGCTTTTTTGTCTTTTTTTGAAACGTATTATTGAAGTTTTGGCAAGTTTTACCATTCAGAGATTTACAAACTAATATTGAAGCTGTAAAAAACAGTTTCATGTATACGCGCATTCACTAATGAGTAATGACAACTTATAAGCCCTACATTTTCCGATAACGACAGAACGCTTGTGTAGCCTTTAGTCGCTCTTAGTGACTAATAATTTTTTTGAGGGGGGGTCAAAATGGGGG